ATAACTCCAATTAACTCCAGGTTGTGGTGCATTGTAGTAGAACTCTTCTAGTTACATATGCAAAGGACAAATTTTAGGAAAGTGTCATAGTTTGCAAATGGGGGGTGCTGCTCCCCAATGGACGAAATGTGACCACCTAATGGCAGCCGTGACGGGGTAACATTGACCGGTTTGGAAATTGAGTTAAAATTACTATATATAAGACTCTGTAGAGTCTGAAACATAAAGAAAAAACATTAATAGGCGTTTCAAACATAAAATATGTTATATAGGTACCTATGGTAATTTTAACTTAATTTTAATGGGGTAACTTAATGTTACCCCATCACGGCTGCCATTAGGTGGTCAAAGTTCCCCCATTGGGGGGCAGCGCCATCCATTTGCAAACTATGACTCTTCCCTAAAATTTGTCTTTTGCATATGTAACTAGAAGAGTTCTACTACAATGCATCAAAACCTGGAGTTATTTTACCAATAAATGAAAAAATTGGAGGGGGTACTCCGACAGGCTTTAAATGATAGCTCTTTTTTGTGGGTCTCATTATTAATTTTTTAACCTATTTGATATGCAAACTTTTTAAATCTTTCTATTGTGTTATGTAGCCTCAGTATTAGGCCTTTGATGGCCATTGACAAAATTTTTCTATGTCAATTCATTTTTGAGTTTTGGGGGTTTTTGTTGAAAAAACAAAAGTGGTCAAAGTTACCCCATTTTACGGTATAGCATTTTATGTACAATTTTGTGACGACCGATGATGCACTAATTTTTTGATAAGTGAATTTTTTTCCATGAGGGAGGTAAATGTAAAATTCTTTGTTGTTAATCAATTTTTTGTTAACTGGAACCTCTGCTAACTGAGGTTCTACTGTAATTGCATTTTTAAGGGTGTCTCTAATTACCCTGGGGAGGTGTCTCTAGTAGCCCCGCTGTGCAAAAATGGCTGCCATTTTTTTTTTTTTTGAACGAGATAGGACAATTATGTTTTCAAGCTGACACTTGGTTGCAACTTTTATGTAAGTAAAATAATTTAATATGGTGAATATTTTTTTTGCTCCAGACCTTAGCAGAGGTACTTTACCAAAATTGCACAAATGTTGAAGTTTACGCCACTATTTTTAGTTTTGCAATATTTTGATTAGTTTAGCTTCTAAAACATTTCTACGAAATGTGGGACCCGATTTACCCCGCCCGTCCCCTTTTACTCTGTTTGACGGCATTCCACATGTAAGAAAGTGCTTGTGTAGGCACTGATCAAATTATTTAAGAGCTATTGCATTGGTGAATACTCAAGCGTAAGAATGTTTGGCTCATCTATTGGCCAACTCTCCAGTCCCAAGCAAAGGCACAAATTTGTAGAAATAATTATGTTCACGAAGAGTCAATTTGAAATTCCATGCAATTGGAAAATGGGCCCTCATATTTAAGATTCTGGTTAGTATTGTCATCAAACTTCATAAATATCTGGCTTTTTAGCAAACATCAATTTTGGTCGAAAAAAAACACCCAATTGATTAGAACTAGGTCCTCAGCCCGGTTCTATAGGCAATTTAAGCCCAATGGCCATATAAGCAAAGTGACCACTAAATATTTTCTTCATACCAAAGTCCATATTGTGAGTTTTTTGAGTTCCCCATAACTTTTGGGCAATTCTTTGAATTAATTTTGAACAGTGTTGAAGAAATGAACTTTGGTGTGAACCAACCATTCTATGTTGGCCCAATGTTAACAGTATGTTAATCATTTTAATTGTAGGTTAAGCTAATTTGCACACTGCAGTTTCATAAAATGAAATATAAAATGAACTAAATTGATCCCTTATTTATTTTTTATTTTTTTGTGAACTTCTCATACACTACGATTTCTGCATTTTTGATGTTTTTTGTTCATTATCTTCAAAAATATTACAGTCCTCTTGAAAGAAAAACATTAATTTGGTTTACAATAGAACTACTCACTAAATGATATGTGTATGTAGTGCTGGCCTCTAAATACAACCCACAATGTGAGTTGCAGAATAACCCACCCATTGAAATTTTTTGATGATATTATTATGTCCTGTAACTTGCTCTAGCTATAAAAGACCATCACTATGACATGAAATCAAGAGTGACCACCAGATGTCTCCATGTCAAAATCCATGCATAGTTTTACAATTTTGTCTAAATTCTTATATGCTGTTACAGCATTTCTTGCCATTATGCGACAGAAATGAATTTCACCACTTATTTCAATTATATAATGTTAGGCTTGCTTAACTTTTATTCCTATGATTAATTTCAACTTGGTTGTTAGCTAATTCAGCATGTCTGTTTTTCAATTCTGAATAATTTAGCTTTTTAGTTAAAATTGGCACTACAAGCCTGACCATTTTTGAGCTTTGACAATATTAGAAGCCTTAAAGTTTGGTACAAATTTCAATGTGGTTGGTTTGTGAATTCTTTCAAAAATTATGAGGATAAAACTTGAATAAAAAATTTTTAGAGGCTGGCACTATAATTGCCACTTGGTCCTTTAATTTGATCTATACCATCAAATGGGGTAAAAAGGGACGGGCAGGGTAAATCGGGACTGTCGTCCCACATTTCATAGAAATGTTGTAGCAGCTAAACTTGTCAAAATATTGCAAAACTAACAATAGTGGCGTGAAGTTTACCATTTTTACTATTTATGTAGCACAAAGCAAATTCAGAAATGATGAGTTTACTACCATTAAAAATCCCTGAAAAAAGGTGTGAAAAGTGTGATTTGAGAAAAGTACCTTTGCGAAGGTCTGCACCCAAAAAAAATGTTTCAAGAAAATTTACTTGAATAAAAAGTGGCACATGGGTGTTGGCTTAAAAACGTGATGGACTGAATTTTCATATCGCATTTAAAAAAATGGCAGCCATTTCCGCAAGACGGGGTAATAATGGACACCCCTAAAAACACAAACACATTTAGAGTAGAACCTTGGTTACCAAGGGCTCCAGTTAACAAATAAATCAATTGACAACAAAAAAATTCTGATTACAATTACCTTGTTCAGCCAAAAAAATTCTGATTACAATTACCTTGTTCAGCCAAAAAAATTCTGATTACAATTACCTTGCTCAGCCAAAAAAATTTTGATTACAATTACCTTGCTCAGCCAAAAAAATTTTGATTATAATTACCTTGCTCAGCCAAAAAAATTTTGATTACAATTACCTTGCTCAGCCAAAAAAATTTTGATTACAATTACCTTGCTCAGCCAAAGAAATTTCACTTGACAAAAAATTAATGCATCATCGGTCATCACAAAATTGTGCTTAGAATGTCAAAGATAGAATTGCGCACCTGGCAAGATAGAATGACAATTAATGAACCTAAACCATGATATATTTCTCCAAAACTATAATGGTTGTCATTAAAATATTCCCTTTTGTTTCAGGTACGTTTTTTATGGTCTTTTTTATAGTGAATTCACGTGACCCAATTAAAATGGTGTGAAATCACATGCCATCCTGTGAGCTTACAGATGCAGAAGAAATGCTATATGACTGCTGATGTGTAGCTTGCAGTGGACAAGGTCATTGTAAATGCTCAATTGCATGTTCATGGATATGTTATCACATCAATAATACGGTAATGTAGGGTTATGGTACTATCATAACAATAAAGGAAAAACAAGTAAAAGTCACAGAAAATTTCATTTATTCTACATTTACATCATCTACAAAGGAAAATGACTTCAGAGTACTGTCAGAAATGGATGAATACACTTTGCAAGTTTGCATGCTTCAAACGTTTTAAAATAAGTTTTATTTCAAGTGTCCCAGATTACCCCGTTCCAAGGGGTAATTTGGGACGCTTTTATTTTGGGTATGGCACCATAAAAATAGCATATAGAATTCTTTTTTTCTGAGATGCCATGCGATAGCCCTTGCAAAGAGCTTTGAAACGAGCCCAAACTTGTTTATGAAATGTTACATGGTAAGAAGTTATCAATGAAATTCTCTAAACTGTCCCTTATTACTCCGTTCAACGGTTATCATTTAACATACATCACAATAGTATGAAACAAAAATGATGACCAGCAGATACATACCTGCTTTACCTCTACCTGTACCTGTGATATATACCTGTACTGTAATCTTTTTGACTTTGCCTAAATTTTTTGGCAACTTATATTTTTCTCATTGTGCAAGAAATAAACTTGATTATGTGTGAAGTACTCAACTGTTTTGTTTAGGAAATGATTATTTTAGCCCTAGATGTTGAGATCATTTCAACTTAAGTGTTATCTAACTTGCTTACTGGAGTTTCTCTAAGTAGAATATATGAAAAGCAACATTTTTCCTTGAGACAACCCCTTTCTTTTGTTTTACCCATACAAATTTAAAAATAAGTTTTAAAATTTCTTAGTGATTGTCTATTTTTTCCTTGGAAACCAAGTAGACGTCTATAGAATGTGTTTTAAAAAGCAAGTTGTAACTAGAAGCCTTGAAAAAGTTGGATGAAATGATCAGAAAAGTGCTTAGACGTATATCTTAAACCTGTATATATGTGGTACATATATTTGACTCTTTTGATATCATTGGATCTTGCTATGGAAAAACCGTCTGGCTATTAAAAACTAAGTACATATTCCCAAGTATGTTGAGAGTAAGGACCTGCCGAAATCCATCTGCCAAATCTGTATGACTGACAGGAGTTAAATATTATAAATTTCACAAAGAATCAATTATTTCAAATTATCGAGCACACAGAAAATCACGTGAGAGTCCAGAGTTGAATACGAGGCTCGCCTGCCTAGCAGCGTGGGATAACGGGATCTAAGTTAGTAACAAGCCTGGCATGGAAATCAACGTCCGAATGAAGAAGTATATCTAAAAGTGGGGTCGCATGCTTTTGCATAGGTATAGTATGTTAGTGTCAGTAATCGTATGCAGCTTAGAAGAGGCTCGCATTTAATTCGAAAATTATGAGTGCCTTAGTGCTGTTTTTGACGAGTTGTGAGAAATAACTGAACTTTTTTTTTTTTTTTTTGGAAAAACAGCACCATAAAGAGAATGTCTAGTTGTGCTACAAATTTATACATATATGCATTAATCAATGTTGAGCTGGTGTTGAATGTCTTGTTTTGTGTTTCAGATGAGTGACGGTCCTCCCCGCGGTCGGGCACGCGGCCGCGGCCTCGATGTGCCACAGCAGCCTGGCGGTGCAGCAGCTCCCCCTCGTGCTCAACACCTCCGACCTGCTGCTCCAATGGTAACTAAACATGGTGGCTAACTGTAAATCTGTTTACTACAATCAACTGGTTAGCATTATAAGCTATACGTTCCTTGGTAACTGAACATGCTGGCTTACAGTAAATCTGTTTACTACAATCAACTGGTTAGCATTATAAGCTATACGTTCCTTGTTAACTAAACATCGTGGCTAACTGTAAATCTGTTTACTACAATCAACTGGTTAGCATTATAAGCTATGCGTTTTGTTACCTAAACATGCTTGCTTACAGTAAATCTGTTTACTACAATCAACTGGTTATTGTACGTTCCTTGTTACACACATTTTAAGACCTATCATTGTATGAAAGTTGAAGGTATTTGGTTTCATTTTTCTACCCTCGCTTACATGTCAATTTAGTATCAAGTATAAACCTGGATCTAGTATAAACATGGTTTGTTTGGCTATATATTCAATTAGAAATGTTACTCATTTTAATGCTAAATTCTTTTAACGCATAGAAATAATTCTGGGAATGCAGATGGAAGATGGCTTTTTTTATTAGAGACCAATTGGCGCTATTCTTGATGATAGCTATCAAATGATGTGAGGACATTATTGAAAATAAACAATAGTGAAGTATCTTTTCATTGGCAAGGTAGGTTTTCAAGTTGGTTTCCAATAGTCCATCACTGATTGAGTGCTTAATGTTGACCTTTTATGGGATATGGATCCTGCTTTATAATTGATAGTTTATCTTCGTTGGATTATTTGTTAACTAAACCGTTGCACGCGGGCACGAGGTCACTTTCGTGAAAATGTTGGACTCGTGTCTTGTGAATCAAAGTAACTAAATGAATTCTATAACTATAACGGATGTAATAACATTCATTTGCGATTGTTTGAATCTGCTGAAAATTCTCCCTTAAACATGAGAACAGCTATTAGTCACTTGCTGACCTTCATACCGGTACTTATTTTAGCAATTTGTTATGTAGGTTTTCCCTCGTCCTTATATTTCTCTCATGTCCCTCCTACGGATGGCCGACGCCTCCTGTAAGTGACCTCTTGTAAGAACGTCGATCTTTCTCAGTTGTCCCCTCCTTCTCTTATTTTTTCTGTCGAGAGTCGCTAACGCCGCTTCTTTCTGGCCAGTTCAGCGGGCTGGTCAGCTGAATCTGATTTAGTTGAAAAATGTCGATTTTACCGCTCATCAAACACTAGTCTATCTCCATATGACTAGTTAGGCGAACTTCTGATCGGTAATTTATGAATGACGCCGAAGGTATATTTTTCAAGATGATTTTTCATAAATTTTTCAGCAACCAAGAATGCGATCAGCTGGACCGCAGCCACAAGTGCGCGCACCGCGCCCTGCAGCCCAGCAGCAGCAGCAGCAGCAGTTCCGAGGCATGCGACCAGCAGGCGGGCCACAGCATCCCTCACCCATCACTGATGCTCCATCTGCGTGGCAGCGCTCGCCTCACGTGGCGATGCTACCTCTGCCACAGCCTGGACACGCCACATCTCGCCAGGCCGCCCCTCCGCTGCCCCCGCCGCAGCAGCCTGCGCCCACTGTCCGGCCCGAGCAACCACCGGCTACGCACGTCAGTAATGCGCTCTCTACTTGGCCCTTTTCTGATCACTGGATTTTTGATTCGAGTGGTGCGATTGCTGCTGAGGGAAATTTTGTCAGGGATTCTTATAATTAATATTTCGAGTGAAAGTTCCTACCATAAAAATGTACAATATTATTTTAACTAATAACCTGCTTGTTTTGATACGCATATCATTTGTAGTTTATTCAATGAGATGTCGTTTAGTAATTACGCGTTGGAATTTATGTGTAACCTGAGACGACGAGACTGAGCTCGATTTGCTCGCAGGCGTCGCGCGCGTACTGCCGTGGTACGGAGCGCGTGCAGAGCGCTATACGCAGCGCTCAGCAGACGTCGGGTGAATCTTCGCTGCCTCTTCAGATGAGCGCCCTAAGCGTTGAACAGGCGAACAGCGGCAACGGCAGCAATGGAAACGGTAGCAATGGTTAGTATTCTTGAGAATCTTGTTTTATTCCAAAGAACCTTGAAATGTATACAGAAGCACCTAAGAAGACTTGTGTTACCATGTTTTTTTTTGTAAGAATAGCCTATTTGATTTGTCTTGATCAGCGGTTGAGTAATTTATACCGTAATCTTGGTAGCATATTTTTACTATCAATCTCATCAGTTTTTATTTAAGCGTGTTCCTACTTTTAAACTGTTCAGTTAAAACTACGCCATCTGCTAGTATTTCATTCTTTGCAATTCTAATAATGGTAGCTGATGCAGTACATGAGCACAAATTTTAAATACGGATCGTGAAAATATGAGGAATTTCCCACAAGTTGATCTTCCATTTCAGGAAATGGCACAACCTCTAGTCGAGGACATTCGCGTGGCGGTCATTTCTCTCGCGAAGATGCCAAGCAAATGATCCTGCGACCGCACAACAACTCCAAGATAGGCAAGATAATGAACTTATTTTTGACTTGCATTAAGTCGTAACTATTCTTCTCGAGATAGATGATTGTAGTTTGAATGCGTGTTTTCCAGCTAGGTTGTGAGGATTATATTGTATATATAATTGTATTTTGTCCAAGTGTTAGTTCGTTTGTGCTTGTGTCAAAGTCTGCCAAATAAATGGGCTGTTGATCGAGTATCGATACTTGAAGTATCGGGATATTACCTGAACCTTGAATTTCAGTTTCAGTTGGATAAAAGGCAGGCATTGCCGAATTGTAAGGAAAGGATGAAAGCCCGAATTGCTATTAGATTTTCAAATTGGTATGCACGATTGTAATATGGGTGAGTCAACTTGCAGTCTTATGTTGAATGTGGTTTGACCGAACCGTTTGATCATGTTAGTAATAAACATACACGAGATTCACGTATTATCCAGTGCTATTGACTGGGTTAGGTATAACTGCATGCTAAAATTGCAAAGTTCCTTGAGCAAAGCTCAGCTAACTTGCAAGTATTTTAATCTGAACGGGAAACTTTTTTTTTTAATTATATTTTTGATGACTGCCGGTAAAAATTTTCCAATTTTAAAATTCGCGAGTGTTAAGATGTCGTGCGTAAGTGGCGGTTAAGACAAAAGCAATTGTGTATTAACTAATACCGGGTAGTCCATCTCTTTGGATGTGACTTACGTTTTTTTTGTAGTTGATAATCACTTCTGTCTATCATGAGATACTTGACATTGATGATAACGTAGTGCATATTTTCTAACATGTTCTAATTGTGACTCGCCAGGTACTGGGAAGCTACGACGAACCAACGACATGAATCTTCTCGTCAACTATTTTGAAATGGAAAAGTGTCAGGACTGGCGACTCAATTTCTACGCCGTCATTTACAAGTACAGTATATCAATCTTCTACCGTTCTGTTGATTTTAGGCGACTCCAGTCATTTTAAGTTGTCGTACGTGCAAGCCATTTTGCGCTCACTAGAACGTATCCTTTTAGGGAAGTATGCTTGTGACAATATTGCTCCGGTTACTCATGTCAGGCGGTAGAAGGTTAAGAAAGTCTGAAAATACAAGCACTTTATACTGTTTTTCATCTTGGGCGGTATAACTGTTACTATGAGCGTCGAAAAAGTCTGTTGCAGACATTGCCAGAATACCTACTGGAAGCAATTTAATTTTCTTCTCGGTACAAGCTTATACGCGGCTCGCGTTTGAACAAATGCAGTGTGCTTGACTCGGAGGATTATTTGGCTGTAATATAATATTTGGGATCCTTGCATGAAAATGCTCCGCATATTGACTAGACTGTAGTCCATATGCTCTGGTTTAACGTCGAAGTGTGCGGCAATGGTGGTAGGTAACCTTTAATTTTTCTGCGACCTTGTTGAGATTATGCATACCACTTGCAATAAAGTTGGTTTATAGCCCTCCTTCCAATCCTCAGTGTTAGTCCTTTCACTCGGTCTTGTGTTCTGCATGTTTTTTGTATTGTTTATCAATAACAGAAAATATAATCTGAAAAATCCTAGATAGAAATTATGGTATATCATTTGTTCATTCATCTGAACATGTGTCCTTTCTTCTTGCCTATTTAAGCCCAAACCGATAATTGATCCCCCGACGAGTTACTATTCTAATGCCATCCTAGATTTGAATTGTTGTGTACTTTAATGAATTTCTTTGATTTCATAACCATATTGAGTCTGTTTCTATATTTTCTCGTCCGTAGGTATTTTGATGAAGTTAGGTGTACGTTTTCTCTTGCTGTAGTGTTGCATTGTAGAACACAAACATGAACAGGATGGCTAAGGATCATTTGACGTTCAGGAAGTGCTGTGAGACAGTGCGAACTTTTAGTAACGCTAGTGAAATGCTTCAGGCTCCATGTATGCTTCAGAGCAGGCGAGTGAATTAACAATTGGTTAATTTTTTTCAGTCCCGCCCAAGACGACCGTCGTCAACGTTACAAGATCATGGAGCCTCACCTGAAGCATTTTGGTGGCCATGTCTTCGACGGCATGAACATCTTCTCGCTCAATTATCTGCCTAACAAGGTGAGACTGCGCTAATAATTTCAAATTGTTGTAGATAGCTGAAAGAGTCATAAGTCGAAGACTTCAAAAGAAGGTAGAGTCTTGTTGAAACTCCATGGTGAGCCGTTGAAGTGTTAACGGCCCCAAGGCAGGTTAGAATTCTAATTTTGAAGGTTCATATATTATTTCGATCCACCAAGACCACTTTTTCGACTCAACATCGTTATTTGAGGCAAAAAATGAACTTTATAAAGGCTTAAAACACGTACGCTAATTTGCTCAGTTTCTGTAAAGTAATCACTTGGAACTTGCATGCTTGTACCTTTCACTCAACAATTAAAATTAAACTTATAAAAAGTATTAGTTAGCTGAAGATTCATAGAAGCAAATTTATTTTCATTGCAAATATTTGTTTCCATAATTATGGTAGACCCTGTAAGTGATATTTGGCCAAGATATCAATTAATGAAAGATATAACAAATTTTCAGGAAACTGTGTTCTCTAGCACGACAAGCGACGGTGATTATAGCATCACAGTGAAATTTGTCAGAGAGTTGGACTCCTTGGATGATCAATTCATCAGGATCCTCAACCTCATACTTCGACGTTGTCAAGCTGCCATCGGTCTCACGCTCATCGGGCGTCACTACTTCAACGTCAAGAATTTCCAAAACCTCGATGCCGACCTCAAGTTAGTGCTCTTTTTATTAGGCGTTTCTTGTCATTCTCCGCACTGCAGTAATGAATTTTTTTTTTCATAAAAATTGTATTAATTTTTAGGAAATTTATTTGTTGTTGCGTGTTAACTTGGCAGTTGCGAATCAGGTCTTGTCATACGTGCATGTGTCAGGTGAGATTTGTGTGATTAATGATTGATGTGATTGCTATTTATCACGAGCTGGTGAAGGATGCGTTTGATTTTTAAAAGGATATATATACCTCGGTATTCTATGCAAAAGCTAAATAACTTAGATGGTGTTGCGTCTTCCCAAACTTGTTTGTACGGTGTTTTTTGCTTGCTTTACCTCGAGATGTTGATTTTTTTATGAACTGTGCGACGCTTCTGTGAATTGCTGATGTGACAAGTTCGTTTCTGCCTATTATGGGGGGAAAATCAACATTAAATAAAAATCTTATATCCACACCTGTCGATATCCTCTCCTGTGGGATATGTGACACCTAGAGTACGAGTAAAGTATTCCAGGACTAGGCATTCTCTTTCAAAGAAATTCGTATTGAGACTGTGATTGTTATTAGTCGTTGTCTGATGTAGAGCAAAGGTTTTAAAATGAATGGTAGGTTTCATGTCTATCCGATCCATTTTTAAATGAAAGGTTGGTTTCATGTCTATCCGATCCAAAGTAAAGTGCCGATTGTCTTGCTTAAAATAATGCGTCTGTGTAGAACCTCTTTTGCTGGAATTGAAGTGCAGATAAGTCTTGATAAGATCATACTCTTAATCTCAGCGTCTCTGAGAGAGATACCTTGCGATTCGAATCAGTTATGTTTACGTGCGCCTCCCACCTCCGAGTAGTAGTTGAGGTGCATTGAATGCTGGTCTGTCTGATGAGAGGTTAGAAAGAATGGCTGTGGTGATGAAGTGTACTTACGATTTCTATGACCTCTTTTAATGTGAAAATGTAGTACTGTTACAGGCTTTCTCTTGTTGGTACACTGGTGTATTGCGTTCCTCCTAAAAATGAAAAATTGTGGATAAATCTTCGGTATATGGTTTCCAACAGTGTAGACGACTTCATCGTGCTGAGGAGCGAACTCAACTAATTTTAACTTTAGCCACAAAGTATCCATGATAAGAATTCATTGAGTGTGATACCGTGACTGATTACAGGATGCGCGTGTATCCTGGCGTCCAGACCAGCATCAGGCAGCACGAGGACAAAATACTTTTGAATGTGGATATAGTTCACAAGTTCCAGCAACAGACTTCAATTCTGGATCACATTAGAACGGTATATTATATGATGACAGCTTTTTAATAAAATCAGATGATTTAAAGAGTGATAAACTACGATTAATCAATATTAGATGCATATTTTTGATTTTCAGGTAGTCTCGCGATAAATGGGAATTATTTTCAGTACCCCAGAGTATTATTTACAAGTAGTATCGTGTGGCAAGTCTAGTTATTTTTTCGAGTATCGAAATATCTACAGAGTGTTATGTGTAAGAACGTTATCCTCAGATCTTCACGACGGTGAACACTTATAAACACTTATAAAACTAATCTTGCTTCATTAGTGGTTTGTAGACATAATATGCCAGGACGTCTGCGAGCTACAGCTATAATTTATGATCGAGTTATTAATGTCTGCAGATGAGGAATGACGATCGCGATCGCCTACTGATAGGACAGATCGCCATGGCTGAATACAACCACCTCACATACCGCATCGACCACTTCGATGATACCAAGAATCCTATGTCGACTTTCCAGCACCGCGGCGAGACGGTCACTTTCAAGAAATACTTTGAAGATGTCAGTCTATGTGCTATTTCTTTTTATAACGTCTTTGCTTTCTAACCTTTAATGTCAATTCATATGCGTGGTATCCCAATGTCAAGTTGTGTCTTGTTCACATTGTTAAGCCGTGATCATTATCATTTAGTATTGGTTCATGCAACACTAGAATTTCGGTGCCCATCCAAATTAGGATATGATGTTTGGTTCGTGCAGAAACATCGACGAATCGTGACGGACCTGACGCAACCGCTGATCTACAGCAAGCCTACTGGTCGTCAGCTAAGAAGTGGCATGACGGAAATCTATCTGGTGCCCGAGCTGATGAGGTTGACTGGCATACCTGATGACATCCGCACGAATTTCCACAAAATGAAAAGGCTCGTTGACTACACGAAGATGGGTGTCGATCGGCGAGTTGCAGCTCTCAAAAAGTTCAACCAAGATTTGCAAGAAGATAAGGTAATTGCTACTAAAAACCCTGTGGCTAATTAATATTATGATCAGCTGTTGAAAATTTTGGCTTAGTGAATGAGGAAGAATAATTTTCCTATAAGGAGCTTGGTGCCTCTTACTCTATGCTCATCCGTGATTTTACATCCAGGTGCGCAAGGATCTAGAGCTATGGGGTCTAAAGCTGAACACCAACTTGGTGAGCCTGACTTCAGGAGTTATGAACCAAGAGGAGATTTTGCTGGCTGGGGGAATGTCTGCGCAGTACAAAGCTGATGATGCGGACTGGACTTTCGGCTGCCGAAGTAAGTGAATTGATACACTGGGTGCAATTGGACTGACGAGTTTCTGAACTGACGTTACTCGTTGGCAAGTGTCTGACCGCAAGCATTATTACGAATAAGTTATTCGTCCGAGATGAAGGCATAACGGAACAGGTTTAGAACCCTTAGTTAACGGATTGAACCCAGTAATTTATTAGATTTGCTTAAGAAGCGTGCGTGTGTTGAATAATTATTGTTTTTTTTTTATCATCGAGCGCATACTTGACCCGTCGATGTAATATGATTAGATAATTTTATTTCATCAATGATGCAATCGTAAAAACACGGGGGCCGGGAATCGGAGTAAGAAAAGATGTGAATTTTAAATTTCAGTAAACGATTCACAATGAAGCGTTAAATTTTCAATGTATTACATGTATCTGTTTGCAATTTTGAGCAAATAGTTCTCACATATAAGAGTAATTAGCTCGCATATAAGGGAAATTAGTGGTAAGAGTACAGTAATCAAGAGCCATCATCTATTCGGTAGATATTTTTTCTATTAGAAGTATCGGACTGTTGTCAGATTACACTCCCTGTCGAATCTCTAACTTGTTGATTAATTTTGTAGACAAGTCAATGATGGTGTCGATTCCTCTGAACAACTGGGTGGTTCTTGTCGGTGGACGGATTAACGTCGCTGATGTGAGCGCTTTCATCCAAATGCTTCAGCAAGCCGCCCGTAGCGTCGGCATGATGGTTAGTTACACTAATTAAGCCGTCGTCGTAATGATAGTAAGTTGTGCCGTCGTAATGATGCAATTACTTAATGTTCTCTAAGAGAGATTTTCGATGGTTTTATATGTTGCCTGATATGTGGACAGATCAGGCCTCCGGAGATGGTTCAGGCGAGTGGAATGCACGAGACGGAGCAGGAGATCATGAAGCATCAGGGCTGCCAGATGATCATGATCATCTTGGACCGCCAGTTGCAGAACAAGTACGGGATGCTGAAGAAGAAACTCGCTTGTAGCATCGGCGTGCTCAGCCAGGCAAGTATTATTTATCGTGTCGCTTCTAATATAGCGGTTTCAGCATTTATAAATTTCACCATTAATTAAGGTCATAAGCTTCACTCGTAAACAAATAAAGTGTTAGAAACAGAATCACGTAGTGATATAAGCAAGTAAAGTCTGTATGGAATACCAAGGTTTGTTTCTTTTATATTGGATGTGTATTAACAGAAATAAAAGGCTTGGCCTCGACCGGCATATAATTTGATGTTTCAACTGAATCTTTCTCCATCGTTGTTTCGCACAACGGCGCTCTAGTGGAAAAAGCCGTTCGAAATTCTAAGTGTCATCTGACTTCTGTACAATATTAACTCATCCCTACAGTTCGTGCTTGCTTCCAATGTGAATCCTGCAAAGAAGGGACTGATGTCCATTGCAACCAAAATCGCCATCCAAATGAATGCCAAACTTGGTGGCGAGCCATGGCAAGTCAAGCAACCAGCCAAGGTTAGATTATTCATCAGGGTATCGAGACTTGTAACATGAATCTCAAGTAAAAAGTGATACTTTGGCTGCACGTTTTAATTTTTTCATTTGAGTAAATATTCTTTTATGGTTCTTGTGGTACAGGCAGTTGATAGGTGATTTCCGATAATTTATGAACTTATCACCTTCATATTAGCTGCACAAGTGTGTACATATTTGATAAAAATTTCTCAGTATTCATTTTTTCCCGTATACACTCGCATAATCTCTTTGACTTACTTTTTTAGGATGCGCAAATAACCATGTTTTTGTAATCCAATTCATTTTTCTACTTTGGAGAAGCACACATCGTTCAAAAAAATCTGCACGCTATTTCCAGACGACCATGGTGATCGGATACGACGTGTACCACGACACTGTGACGGCCAGCAAATCTTATGGTGCTGTGGTTTCGTCGGTTAATCCCCAGCTGACTAATTACTATGGCCAGGTCACCGAGCACAACAACAAAGAAGAGCTCAGCAATAACTTCGCTGTCTGCATTCAGAGTTGGTTGCCAGTTCTTGATATTCCGTTGCTTGTACGTTGAATTGCTGACCTTAACCGAATTGTGCAATTGAGGGGAAAATTGTCAACTATCTAGACATAACCGGCTGTCCTATTTAAGGGAAAGATGGCTATTGAATGGCTACATCCAATAGTTATGTTTTCTGATCATAATATGGTGGCAAGATGTAAATGCTTGTGATGGCGTGTCCACAGAAGCTGTGAAGGCCTATCATGAGCGCAACAAATGCCATCCCCGCAACGTTGTCGTCTACCGAGACGGTGTTGGCGAAGGTCAAATCGAGTACGTCAAGCAACAGGAAATTCCAGCCATAAAGGTATTATAATGCTTGATTTTAAAATGCAAGAATGATAACTATTTATTATTAGAAATTCAACCAGTCTCAACTATCGTTTGAGACTCGGACCAATACCTAAAACTCTGACGCTGAATAAAGGTGTCTAAATTCGTATCGATCCGTTACCGTTATCGATCATTCAAATGTAATTTTGTAAAACATTTTGTATTTTTTATTCATTTTGTAAAACAAACATTTTGTAAATGGTTTTTTGGTGTGAAATTTTTTTCTTGATATAACTTGATATCTGTTGTAGAATAGTTGTCAGTTGACCAATTGACGTAGTGTTTAGTTAACTCAACATCCATTTGTTGTGGTGTATTCTTTGCATTGGTGACGCTCGTCACTGTTTGGGCAGAGCGAACTAGCCAAGATCAACCCTGGGATATGCCTTGTGTTCGTTGTGGTCTGCAAGCGTATCAACACGCGAATTTTCCGTGACATGGGTAGCGGTGGACTCGCCAACCCACCGCCTGGCACCGTAGTCGACAAGACTATCACGCTGCCTTATTGGTTTGTTCAGTTTTCTTCAATTGAAAATAATGCGTATGTAAGAAAGTTCTTTTTATATGCCGCCAACCATATTCCTACTGATACTGGCATTGTGTTAGTGAGAAATTTGTCTAGTTTCTAAACTTGTTAATTTCGTTAACCATTGGAAATGCGTTGATTTAATGTACATTTTGCAGTTACGACTTCTTCCTGGTGTCCCAGAAAGTAAGAGAAGGAACTGTCTCGCCTACATCTTACAGTATTTTGGAGGACGGCTCTAACTTCTCAGTCGACATGCTGCAGTGCTTCACGTACAAGCTCACGCATCTCTACTTTAACTGGCAGGTGTGTGTTGCTAGCACCAAACTTATTTTGTTCTTATTAACTTATTTTTGTGTTTTTGTTAGGTTTTCTCACGATCAAATGGCTGAAATGAACAGTAAAAACCTTGGACTTTGGTCTTTTAAGTCTGTAAAACCTCGAGAAATGAATTAAAATGGTATTCTATAAACACAGGCTGATGACAGGTACTGAGAGCCTTTTTTCGAGTCTATTTTCCTTTATTTCCCTTTTTTGCGAAAACGCGAGTTCTCTAAATATTTTTGAAGAAAATGCAGTAGTGAAACTGCTGACGCTTTTGTCAACATTTTAAACTGCCTAGTGTATTTCTTCAAAAATTATTAGAAGAACTGAAGAGTCAGTTTTCAAAGTACCTCATTAAGTACATTCAAATGACGCGTTATTTTAGCTTGTTGAGGATAGGCAAAATGCATTAAAAACAATTTGTCGAGTCGTCTGGAATTGATTGCAGGGGACGGTGCGCGTTCCTGCGCCGTGTCTCTACGCCCACAAGCTCGCCTACATGACGGGTACAGGCACCCACAGCCAGCCTTCACCCCGGGTTGCTGACAAGCTTTGGTGAGCAAATGTCCAGTCATTGTACACGTTACTATCGTTATGATGTCCTCGAACACAGGCACCCACAGCCAGCCTTCACGCAGGGTTGCTGACAAGCTTTGGTGAGCAAATGTCCATTCATTTTACACGTTACTATCGTTATGATGTCCTCGAACACAGGCACCCACAGCCAGCCTTCACCAAGGGTTGCTGACAAGCTTTGGTGAGCAAATGTCCTGTTTCCGAGATTGCGCCTACTCGTTTCCAAAGTTTTTCAGTCGGTATCAGTGGTGATTTCTTATTGATATTCCTTTCTCCGTCAAATCGGAGTAGGAAAATTTCTTGGTAAGAACTACGACCGCTGTGATTCGTACTGACTCGACTACATATATCACTGCCATGACTCTTGCAAATTAATTTCTACATTTGCTCGTATGTTGAATTGAGCAAATGTTTCTTTCAACGTGATTTTGAACACTAACATCTTAGGAAGTTAATTTTTTTTACTCGTTTTCAGGTTCATCTAAGTTGCCGAAACGACTTTCTGAGAGCAGTCTTCAAGTATAACCATCGTCGCTCATGATCACAAGAAGGTGGAGGAGAATTTAATCTGCTTGTCCCGTGTTCCGTGCCAGTTTTTGGCTGGGATATCCTAATTTCTTTGTTTATTATAACTGTTGATTAACTACTGCTTTAATTTTTGCTCACGGAGCTCAATGCGATGAGAAGTAGATTTTTCTTTAATAGGAAATCTGACGCCTTATTTTCTTTCTTTATCCGGTAGGAATATTGGGCATTTTTTTAGTTTTTTTTTTTTGCAACCGAGCTGAATTTCATTCGACAAAGTTTAAGCTCCACTTGCTTCAAAATCATACGTTTATACTTGTTCGGTACTTATAAACTTGTTCGAGCTTTTTCCCCACAGTGAGCTGAATTTTTTCATTTTGTTCTTCGTTTTGCAACAGAGTTACACATCCGAGGTTAGTTGAGAGCCTCGGCTGTTTTTGATTTCTAAGTTTATTCACATAAGGAACTTCAAATAACGTGTTTGAATTAAATTTGGACCTAATTTTTTTGGCGTTTTGCAACTCAAGTTGCATATCATCCGAGGTTAGTCTAAGGCCTCATTTGCTATATTCGTTTGAATTACATTTGGACCCAAGTTTTTTGGCGCTTTGCAACTCAAGTTGCATATCATCCGAGGTTAGTCTAAGGCCTCATTTGCTATATTCGTTTGCTTGTACTTGTTTGAGCTTGAGTTGACGTTTAGAACAGGAAGTTTGTTTTTTGCTATTTGTTTGGTTAGTAAACGCTTTGAGTCCTTGATGTTTTTTTATGTATTTCCGTAAATAGAATGATGTGCTGATCGTTGATGCTCACAATCACGACTCTAGGTAAAATTGACGATTTGCGTCGATCTTATTGAACGCAACGACCCAAGATTAAATCAGTTAGCGAATCAGCATTATGTTGTTGGACAAACTTATCAGTTATTCGTTGAGGTAGGCATCAACACAAGAGACGGACGAGCCGCTTGCTTGACCAGTTCGGCTATTGCGAATTCGAGTTGATTAGCACAGGAGCAAAATTGAATGCAGGGCACAATTCAGTTGTCTAGAGTTCTAGACTCTAGAGCAGGAGAGTGGGCTCGCGAGCCAGATACGGCAATATTTGACCATACCCTTGTTATATGGGTCATACCATACCCCATTTGACCCTTGTCTCTTTCGTCTCGTCCTGTAGTGAGAACAAGTTTTTTTTTGGTCAACGGCAGTTTGATGAACGACGTGTACTTAAGGGGCGCAAAAGCGAGGAATGCGTCAAAGAAATGGTTTCTGAAAAGAAAATGTTGGTACCTAGAATTAGGCACAAGAAGAGCAAAGACTCTTTACTCTTTGAGGCTTTTGACTACTGCGGCACTTAAAATTAACTCGATAGCATTTACTGTATAACGCCATCAAACGATTCGATACAGAACACCGTTTCTTGCTGTTGCTCTCGGTTTTCGACGATTGGCTGGTCTTTTGAAGTCTTGAAATTTTCTGTAATGATTTTACCTTGAGCATTGGGCCTAACAACATCACAACTGAAATGAGATCCGGCACAAAGCAGTTCTGCAGATTTAATTGCGTTTAACGAATTCGCGCCGTAGGTTCCTATTCATTTTAAACCACTTCATGCGAAAATGGTTTCTCGACCCTTACAGCGATAGAATCGAATGCTCGGAACAGCGAAAGCAATCACATATTGAAAGTTTGAAACCATTGGTATAATTGGTGAAATTTTGTCCAAAAAAATTTAGTTTTCGACAAGCATCTTTGAATAGTTTTGATGGTTATTACGGCAATAGTTAGTTTTTCGTTATGAAATTTAACAATTCGTTTGAATAAATTCTTGTCTATCAGTAACGAATTCTTGCCACCAATTAATTTTTGCTTCCCTTCATTCGTGAATGAACCTAGCTCATATAAATTGTTGAGTGAAAGTGAATTGTGTTGTGTACTAATTAATGTTGTGGCCGTATTCATTCATTGAATACCTGCCTTTTTTAATATCTACGCGCTTACCTATCCATATCATGGTATTTTTCGCAATTCCCTTAAACCGGTGCATTCTTCTGCAACATCATTCTCGCAAGACAATGAAAATCCTTGTAAAAATATTTTTTCGGCTTTCTTGTCAGACATGCTAGGCACGCTTGGTTGAAACAAGCGACCGTTTGTCCGAATCGACACTTCGAACTCACCCATGAACTTGCCAACGGACTCCAGCACAAAACTGAATATATGTAGCATATATAGTGGTCGGTGTTGCAGGTACAACTTTCAAGTTCATGATCGATACAGCTGATTGAAGGTCATAAATTAGTCTTCATTAAAGATTGCTGAATGCCCCCGAACGCTATATTCATTAGGCTGACTGATTCGCTTTTGATCCATGCTTGTAGGAAAAAAAATCTCATTAGAGGACAATGGCCAACACTTACCGAGTTCTAGTGCCTGATGGTGCTGTCACTTCAGGTCGAAGGTTGACGGTGTCAGAGGTGTAGTGACATCGTGAATCATGCACATGAAGATATAAGATTCGATAATTACAATATCTGAGTTTTAACGATCTGTGGTTGGAAAATTGATAATAGAGTAGTTGAATTATCGTGACAAGAAAGTATAGTTAACCCCTGTGCGAACATGATGTTCGGATTAAACGCTATTTCATTGAAATTTGGCATAATTTTAGAAATAAATCGTACTCGCGTAACAATAAATCGTACTCCTAATGCATTAGATCTAAGAACCATTAAATTTTATGCCGTTTACTTCTTTAGTTCATTCTTTCTGCTCGTTTACCTCATATAATATTGTTTTGCGATTTTGCAATAGAAAGGCGGTGTTAATAAGCGTTCGATTGAATGATGAATAGTTTACTAATGGGTTTTATCCAGCACATGAAATATTAAGGTATTGTGAAACGGCAAGTATTTCCCTAGTCCAAAACATCTAAGCTGACAACTGTGGTGTGAGATCTCGCATCAGTGATCGTTATCTAGATTCAGAAATTTAAATCCGTAGCTAGAGCTAAGAACGGACGTGTAGATAGCAAAACCATGAAAAATGAGTCTCAAATGAATTTATTTTGCTGGGACATATTGAAGAGTGCTTGCTTTTTGTTCGATTGCACCATTTCAGAGCTGTTTCTCAAATATCCTGAAAGGAACAGCGTTGAACAGAGAGGTAACCCTATCTTTGAAGATAGGGACGTAGTGGAGCTTTAATGACGTAGTCGTCTTGGAATTGTATGAACATACATACAATTCTTGTACAGGGTGCGGCGCGGGAACTTACTTATTTGAATTGCGCGCCACGTGGCGGCCATTAGTCCTAGGAAGGTGGCGCCATGCGCAATATGGTGCGCGGGCTATGAAGTTTTTCGTCCACTCAGTTCAGTTGCGACCATGCAGTGGTCGAGAGAGGAGCGCGCGTTCGCAGTCTCTGTGTACTTTTCTAGTTTAAGTTTTAACGATCTGTGGTTGGAAAATTGATAATAGAGTAGTTGAATTATCGTGACAAGAAAGTATATATAACCCCTGTGCGAACATGATGTTCGGATTAAACGCTATTTCATTGAAATTTGGCATAATTTTAGAAATAAATCGTACTCCTAATGCATTAGATCTAAGAACCTTTTAATTTGATGTCGTTTACTTCTTTACTTAATTCCTTCTGCTCGTTTACTTAATTTAATATTGTTTTAGCGATTTTGCAACAGAAACGCGGTGTTAATAAGCGTTTGATTGAATTATGAATAGTTTACTAAGGGGTTTTATCCAGTAAATGAAATATTAAGGTTTTGTGAAGCGGTAAGTGTTTCCCTGATCCAAAACATCTAAGCTGACAACTGTGGTGTGAGATCTCGCGTCAGTGATCGTTATCCGGATTCAGAAATTGAAATTCGCTGCTAGAGCTAAGAACGGACGTGTAGATAGCAAAACCATACAAAATTAATCTCTAATGAATTTATTTTGCTGGAACATATTGGAGAGTGCTTGCTTTTGGTTCGATTGTGCCATTTCAGAGCTGTTTCTCAAATATCTTGCAAGGATCAGCGTTGGACAGAGACGTAACTCATCTTTGAAGTGGCGTAGAAATAAGCGGGTACCAGATTGAAGGTGTGGAAATAAGCTTTAATGACGTAGTCGTCTTGGAATTATATCAACACACATAAAATTCTTGTATGGCCTTCTAAATTCGATAGATTCGTTCAACAACTAACATGTCAATAAGTTTTGCAGTGTTTCGAGCCTACTTCTATATTAATGGAGATGTAAATAGGCCTTTTATGCTTTACTAAGTTAATGCTAAGCATTAGGCCAATTAGGGAAAGACCTCAACACAGGGAAAGAGTAACAGTTTACGGATCGACAACCAGTAAAGGTTGTCCAGCATTACTGGACCTTGCTTCTTCGAGAAGGACTATTATTATGCTATACAATAAGTTCTGAGTGGTACGTAAACAGGCTCTGCAAACATTTTCAGCCATACTTGAAACAAAAAATATGGCACTAATTGTCGTTTCAGTAGGATGCTGTCACAGTTTAAACAGCAAGAAATTATACAGCTGTTTTAGTGGAATTTTCACTGTTCGATACTTACCTACAAGATGTAATATTCAAGAATTAAACTTGTAAGTAAACCCAACGAAACTTTAAATGTAGCTCTTTGTAAAAAAGAAAGAATTAAAACGCTATCTTTAATACTTTTTACTTTGTGATTTTTTTAAAAGAGTAAGTTCCCACGCCGCACCCTGTATGACCTTCTAAATTCGATAGATTCGTTCAACAACTAATATGTCAATAAGTTTTGCTGTGTTACGTGGCCTGCTTCTATATTAATGAAGATGTAAATAGGCCTAATATGCATTACTATTTAATATTAAGCATTAGGCCAATTCGTGAATGACCTCAACACAGGGAAAGAGTAACAGTTTACGGATCGGCAACCGGTAAAGGCTGTCCAGCATTACTGGACCTTGCTTCTTCGAAAAGAACAATTATTATGCTGTAGAATAAGTTTTGAATGGTACCTACGGAAAGAGGCTCTACAAATATTTTCAGCCATACTGGAAACAAAATAATATGGCACTAAACGTCGCTTTAGTAGGATGTTGTCGTAATTTAAACTGCAAGAAATTATACAGCTCTTTTAATGGAATTTTCACTGTTCGATACTGGCTGACTGCAATGGTTGTTCAATGTCGAAGAAGACAAAGAAATAGCAATAATTGGAGCTTTCTGAATTATTATACTATACCTTCAATGTTAGCTGTCAAGTTCGCACAAGACAAGTCCAAATTGTTTCGATTAGTTTACCCACGAGTGTCACTGCACCTAAAAAATATAACTCTGTACTCACTGCAGTGAGTGACAGGGAGCGCATTTTCTCGTCGACGAAAACGTGAAGTCACAGACGGACTGACAGACAGACGGACGGACGGACGGACATGGCGAGCACAATAGCGCCTTTTTTCCATAAATGTGAAAATTTTTTGTACAAATATAGAATGAACAAAAACCAGTTGATGAACAGAACTCATTGACAATTTAACTTTTATTTTACAACGCAAACTAATAAATGTATTTTTCTAGCTATATTCAGCCTATCATATTATATATATTATAACATTGACCAATAGAGAAATGATTGTGGGATCGTTTTGTGTGGTGTGAAAGCATTTTTGCTACTGATTACAAAATTGGATTTGCATTTTTTACCCATCACGTAAAGTTTTTGAAATATTCGCTTATTTTAAAATATATATGATAATTAT